TTGAATTTATAATTTTATAACCTTAACCATCAAGAAGAGATAACTTAAACTTCTTTGTCTAGTAAACCTAGGTAGAAAGAAGGTGTATGCCTGCTTTAGTTGATCTGAAGACATTCCTGTTTGCTTGTTTTTATTTTGACAAGTTTTGGAAAATAGCTTTATTATAAACATTGTCCCAAATAAAATTTTATAACTTTATAAATTTTAATAAAACATGTTTTTTTCTATGCAGTCATTCTTGGGTATCCTCAGAAAATTGGCTCCATAGCCCCCATGAATGTAAAAATACATGGATAGTCAAGTTCATATTATAAAATTGTGTCCTATTTCCTGTATACTTACATAGCTTCTAGATTAATTACAATTTTCACTATAATGTAAATGATATGTCAATTCTTGCTGGTAGAGGACAAATCCAAGTTTTGCTTTTTGCTTTTTCTTAAACATTTTTTATTAATTTATAATCATTTTACAATGTTGTGTCAAATTCCAGTGTAGAGCACAATTTTTCAGTTATACATGAACATATATATATTCAGTGTCACATTTTTTCTCTGTGAGCTACCATAAGAAATTGTATATAATTCTCTGTGCTATACACTATAATCAAGTTTATCTATTCTATATTTTGAAACCTCAGTTTATCACTTCCCACCCCCCACCCCCTTGGCAATCACAAATTTGTATTCTGTATCTATGAGTCTATTTCTGTTTTGTATTTCTGTTTTGTTTGTATGCTTTTAATTTTAGATTCCACATATGAGCTATCTCATATGGTATTTTTCTTTCTCTTTCTGGCTTACTTCATTTACATTGACATTCTCCAGGGACAGCCACGTTGCTGCAATTGACGTTATGTTGTCAGTTTTTAAGGCTGAGTAGTATTCCATTGTATAAATACACCATAGCTTCTTTATCCAGTCATCTGTTGATAGACATTTAGGCTGTTCCATGTCTTGGTTATTGTAAATAGTGCTGCTATGAACATTGGGGTGCAGGTGTCATTTTGTAGTAGGGTTCCTTCTGAATATATGCCCAGAAGCAGGATTCCTGGGTCATACAGTAAGTCTATTTCTAATCTTTTGAGGAATCTCCATACTGTTTTCCACATGGCTGCACCAACCTGCATTCCCACCAGCAGTGCAGGAGGGTTCCCTTTTCTCCACAGCCTCTACAGTATTTGTCATTTGTGGATTTTTGAATGATGGCCATTCTGACTGGTGTGAGGTGATACCTCATTGTAGTTTTGATTTACATTTCTGTGATAATCAGTGATATTGAGCATTTTTTCATGTCCCTAGTGATCATTTGTATGTCTTCCTTGGAGTATTGCTTGTTTAGGTCTTCTGCCCATTTTTGGATTGGGTTGCTTTTTTTTTTCTTATTAAGGCGTATGAGCTGCTTATATATTCTGGAGATCAAGCCTTTGTCAGTTTCATTTGTAACTGACATTTTCTCCCATTCCGTACATTGTCTTTTTGTTTTACTTATGGTTTCCTTTGCTGTACAGAAGCTTGAAAGTTTTATCAGGTTCCATTTGTTTATTCTTGCTTTTATTTCTATTGCTTGAATAGACTGTTCTAGGAAAACATTTTTGAGATGTATGTGAGATAATATTTTGCCTATATTTTCCTCAAGGAGGTTTATTGTATCTTGTCTTATGTCTTAGTCTTTGATCCATTTTGAGTTGATTTTTGTGTATGGTGTAAGGGAGTGTTCTAGTTTCATTGCTTTACATGCTGCCATCCAGTTTTCCCAACACCATTTGCTGAAGAGGCTGTCTTTATTCCATTGTATATTCTTGCCTCTTTTGTGGAAGATTAGTTGACCAAAAGTTTGTGGGTTCACTTCTGGGCTCTCTATTCTGTTCCATTGGTCTATATGTCTGTTTTTGTACCAATACCATGCTGTCTTGATGACTGTAGCTCCATAGTATTGTCTGAAGTCTGGGAGAGTTATTCCTCCAGCTTCATTCTTTTTCTTCAGTAATACTTTGGCAATTGTAGGTCTTTGATGGTTCCATATAAATTTAATTATGATTTGTTGGAGTTCTGTGAAATATGTCCTCTGTAAATTGATAGGGATTGCATTAAATCTGTAGATTGCCTTGGTCAACATGACCA